AGAACCCAGCGCGCTCTCTTCACAGCTCTGGGGTCACGTGAGCCGGGCCACCTGGGCTCCTGCAAGCCCTAGACGTGTAATTAGAGGCTCCCGGGCCGGGATGCTGCGCAGACAAGTCTTATCATGTGTCTGGGCTGCCGTGGGTGCACGAGTTCCCTCTGCAGCCTGGAGCGGCTGGGCCGGGCGCCCGGGCCGCCCGAACCGCAGCAACCATACCCGGCTTATGCTCAGCCAAGAATTTTGATCGATTACTAAACAGCAATAGTGACAAGGACACTAGAGCATGCAGGAACAGCAATGCAGCCGAGAATTTGGCACTTGCCAAATAAAGCTTCCTGTGCGCTGTGCCCGAGGCTGCTCATGGCTTCGGCAGCAAGACAGACTTGCTCGGCCTCACACAAGGAGTGTACAAGTCATTCATTCAGTACCCGGGGAGGCGCTGGGCTAGGCCCTCGTGACTGAAATGAAGAAATACGCGCGAAGCATGTGATCACAGTTTATTTGATGGAGATCCAAAGTCACCAAGAAATGAAGGTGCTGCCTTTCTCCACAGGGGCAAAAAGTTGACCGATGAGGCACAGTTCCAAGGACTGGTTCCTCCTTACAACTTATTTCCCCGTCTCCTGCCGTTCACTTAGTACAGGAAAGAGGTTTATGTGTGGGCATGGGTGCTGTTCCAGTGAACTTGCTTGGGCCCCTGGTAGTGTTCTGGAACCACAGGGTGAGGGCACTGGAGAGGCACACTTGAGTCCTACAGCCTGCCGGCAGCTCTCTAGGCAGCTGGAAAGGAGTACTCAGAACAGCCCTTCCCCACTGTCCCCCACCATCTGGTACCCCAACCTCATGTGCTGCCAGGTGGCAGTGGACATGGAGGGACAAACGGTCTACCAGGCTGCTCTCGTGTGAAGGGTCTCCTCAGGCACAGAAAGTCTGACAAGGACACTAGAGCATGCAGGAACAGCAATGCAGCCGAGAATTTGGCACTTGCCAAATAAAGCTTCCTGTGCGCTGTGCCCGAGGCTGCTCATGGCTTCGGCAGCAAGACAGACTTGCTCGGCCTCACACAAGGAGTGTACAAGTCATTCATTCAGTACCCGGGGAGGCGCTGGGCTAGGCCCTCGTGACTGAAATGAAGAAATACGCGCGAAGCATGTGATCACAGTTTATTTGATGGAGATCCAAAGTCACCAAGAAATGAAGGTGCTGCCTTTCTCCACAGGGGCAAAAAGTTGACCGATGAGGCACAGTTCCAAGGACTGGTTCCTCCTTACAACTTATTTCCCCGTCTCCTGCCGTTCACTTAGTACAGGAAAGAGGTTTATGTGTGGGCATGGGTGCTGTTCCAGTGAACTTGCTTGGGCCCCTGGTAGTGTTCTGGAACCACAGGGTGAGGGCACTGGAGAGGCACACTTGAGTCCTACAGCCTGCCGGCAGCTCTCTAGGCAGCTGGAAAGGAGTACTCAGAACAGCCCTTCCCCACTGTCCCCCACCATCTGGTACCCCAACCTCATGTGCTGCCAGGTGGCAGTGGACATGGAGGGACAAACGGTCTACCAGGCTGCTCTCGTGTGAAGGGTCTCCTCAGGCACAGAAAGTCATACAGGCCAAGTATGTTTGCCACTCTGAATTCTGGGCAGGTAACATGAAAGCAGAGGTGAGCTTGTTTAAACATGCTCTATCTAGTGAAGATTCCCAGAGGCTTGGACAGAAATATCTTGAAACTCAATACATTCAAGAGAAAAGCAAGCATGAAAATTCACACCCTCAGCTTGCATTAGGAATGCCTAAATCTTTCACTTCGTGCAAAAGACACAAGGTGAGGCTAACCAAGTTTGGACACATTTGAACCTTCTCTCCTCTCCCCTCTCTACTTTTCCCAAATAAAACTGGAAACTTCTCTTAAAAAAGTTGTATGATTAGCATGTGGAAAGGAAAAGGGCCAGAACATTTGTCAAGATCTAGTCTGCATAGAAAACAAGTCTCTGAGTACATTTTAGTTTGAACGAAACTTAATTTGCTTAAGGACAAGAATACCTCAAAGCTTTAGTACTGGTTTAGAGATTCAGTTCGCCTCGTGGTTTGCTACACATTTCAGATTCAAAGATGTGGAACCTCGAGGCTATGTGTGCATCTGAAGGCCTTTAAGGGAAAAAGCATTCATGAATCCTCAGTTTGAAGTTGTAGCTCTGTTGGGGCTAACGTGGATTAGTTTTGCAGAAAATCTTGGCAGATCCAAGTCACCATACACTGGATTTATCTTCTCAATTACCATTAATATCACACTGTAATGTGTATTTAACATGGCAACATATTTTTTAAGGTATGGATTTTCACAAAATCACTAATAGAATGGAATTAATTTCTAAATTTTAGAAGTAGGACCTAAGTCTATTTGGATAGCAACTATTTCTAAATAAAATACTATATATGTATTGTGACAATGTCGATTTCCTAGTTTGAGAATGGATTATAATTACCTAAGATGTTATCACTGGGGGAATCTGGGTGGTAGGTACAGGAGACCTCTCTGTACTATTTTTGAAACTTCTTGTGGGTCTATAATTTCAAAGTAAAAATAAAAAAAAAGACAAAACTATGTATGAAATAACCATGCTAGGAGCTTATTTTAAGAAAAAGATTCTATGTACCCTAAAACTATAAAATGATGAAATTAAGAACTAAAATAGAGAATGGCTTAGTGTTTATTTTGATACTTGAATCAGACAGATGTAGTTCTCTTTTCTTAAACTATGAGTTCTAGAATAATCTGTGGGCCTCTCTTTTTACATACGGCTCCTGGCAATGAAGAAACATCCACTTAGATAGTTCTTTTTATAACATTTCAGACATCCCTTGAGACCTAGAAATAAGCAACATAGAAACAAGATCAAACTTGCATAGCACATGGAATTTGATGAGATAGGCAGAGCATACTTGATTATTGCAGCCTACGATGACTTAAAATGTAGTATTTTTCAGCTTTTGAGTGGACTTTCAAACGAGTCCTCTTGACCAACAGAACATGATCTTCACTTCCTGCTGTGGCCTCGCACTGATGGGACATCGAGGCTGGGAGAAGCTACGGGAATCCTCCACGTGGGATGTGAGGGCTTGAGTGGAGCTGACATTGGTTTCCTGACTCTGGGATGCTGCTTTGTTACTGGGGAGGCCTTGCCTTGGAGAGAACTTCACAATGCCTCAGGACTAGATAACCCATAGCTGTTTCCCCACTGGGCCTGACCCACACCACGAGAATGCATCCAAATTCAGTTTGCTGTATGCTGGTTCAGACTGAGTTGGCAAATAGTGCCCTGGACAGGTTTTGGTCAAGTGGCATTAGCAGCCGCAAGGCACATCTGCTGGCCAGGAAAAAAACAGGGAAGTACATTCATGCAAAAGCAAGGAAAACCACTGATGGTAGGAGGGAAGCAAATATGGAACTAATTAAAGATAATCTTGACCACAGTACAAACAAAAATATGAGATGCAGATAGAGGCTGCAGTCAGACACTCCCAGGCTGAGACCTGGGCCAGGGGGCCGCAGAGGGGCTCTGGGCATAGGCTCCAGGCTGCACCCCACCTGAGGTCTCCCTGTCTCAAATGGCCCTCACCCTCATCTCCGTTTGGGGGACAGCTCCGTTCTGTGTCATTTCCCTGTACTCCCCAGTCAGCTGCCCACAAAATAGCCACTGTCATCTTTTCAAAACAAGTCAGACCCTGCTCTAAGCAGTGTCACTGCCCTCCCCCCCCACCTTAGTGCAGCCGTCATGTCCACGCTGGCTGCATCCCACCTCGGGGGCTCACACGTGCCCACGTCCTCTGCTTTCCCTCACCGTCTGCTCTGCCTCCTCCAGCTTGGAGTCCAGCCCTTCAAGTGGCACCTGGCAGGTAGGAGCCCCTAGGTCAGTCACCGCACACCCCTTTTCAGCATTTCTCACACATGGTAATTATGTGCTGCTTTAACATTTTCAAGGGCAGGACTGCGTCTGCCTGCCCAAGACCTAGCATGTGGTTGGTACTCAACAAATGTCTGCTGAATGAGCCCCCAAAGCCCATTTCTTCTCCTGTAAAATGCCAGAAATAATACCCAACTTGGGGGTGATGTGCAAGTACCAGACAGTCCCTAAATCAACTCATGGGCTCACACCAGTCACAGGGGCTTGTATGTAGCTGTCACAGGTAATCCCCTATCGTAGGCATCATCCCTATCCCTTCCCGTTTACAGCCGGGCTACAGAGATTTGAAAGAATCTGCCCATAATTCGAGAAGTGGAATCAGACCTTCAGCCAGGTCATGGCTCCCCGAGCCGTCAGTCTGGACTCAGGAGGGCACCACACACACACAGGCTCCATTAAGGTCACAGGGAGCTTTGCCATCACCCAGGAACCTGGGGAGTGGTGAATGGTAGGAAGGAGGGCAGCTCCATGTCAGCTATAGGACAGAGGGAAGGGCCCAGGGCCATGTGACCCCAAGCAGCACCTTCACAGCACCCCAGATTCCTCCTGCATTCAGAAGCCTGGATCAGCACGTCTGTCCCTGTGGACTGCTGCCTCCAGGAAGAGGGCAGGGCAGGTGGGTTTCCTTTGGTGGCCTCACCTCAAGCAAGAAGCAGAGCCTCCCAAAGAGCCCAGAATAATCCAGACCTAGTCCTAAAATTTAAAACGAGTCACATCAGTTCTGCATCAGAGCTGGTTTTCTTCCATTACACTGCCCTTGGTGGGATGTCCCCACCGCAGATAACTCTCTTGACAGTAACTTAACAACACTAATTCAAGTTCACTTTCTTAATTGTCAAAGCAAATACACAGTTTCTTGTCACTGTGCATTCTAGAATATTTATAATTTGCTCAAATTGTCATTTTAGGGAATGACAGGACATTTTGAAGTGTATATTTAACTGCAAAAAAATCTTCCCTCATGCGTAAAAATGGCAATGTTGTCAAATTACTTGAGAACATATAATTTCATAAGAGTTTAGGCAAGAAACATGGTTAACAGTGTCATAAATAAGTATTATAACTTTATTAAAATGAAAAGACAATATTCAAAATAATGCAACAAAAATGAATAAAATCCTTTGTCCAATACTGTACATATAATGCAGAAAATCAGTGCATTTTTCTAAAGCATGTTTTACCTTCATTTAGTTCATACTAAAATACAAGCTTTAAATAGCTCAAATATCTTTCAGCAGTTTAAACTGTAAACAGCCTGTTTAACTGTTAAGAGAACATTGTAGTAATGTTCCTCTGTTAGCGAGCACCTTCTCGTTTGTGCTTATCTGTACAAGACAAGTACATTGAAGCATGTGAAGAGATGAACACAAGCTACGTGTCTCACTGAGTCTCTGAAGCAGCCGCCCGTGAGGGTCTGAGGAGCAGGAAGATGCTGACGTGACCTCTGAAGTTAAGACATGCTGTGCTATTGGTCAGAAGTGTTTTACTTAAAAAGCAAACAATCCCCAAGAAATACTGAATAGGAACCAGCAACACAAGGCCAGCTTGTGTTGTATTTGTTTATTAATACAGTCTAAAAAAAACAAACGGAAAACCACAACACACATCCATCCCCACACAATATTGCTCCATCACATAGCTGTTTCATCATTGCTTGAACTGGCATCCTCAGCACCGCGAACAGGGTGCTTCCCCCATGAGCCTCCTGTGTCCTGCTGCTTCTGTGAGGCACATGCTACAATGGGCCATTTCAGTGGCTGGAACAAAGCAGGAATTATAAGGAAAAAGTACTTAACTAATTCTATTATCATCTCATTTGTCAAGATGGGACATTGTACAGGTGAAAATATGGTTGCTGAAGAAACTGCTCTGACTCCCCTCAACAAAACAAAGTGAAACCTGCAAGCATTTGGGTCTCAGGACCATTTTTACACTTGGTAGATAGAGTCATGGTAAGAATGTGCACCCTGCCCTCCATGGAACACTGCTCGCAAAAATAAATGAAACAAAATATAACTGGCCTTAGAGCCATAAATCTTCAGACTTACTAAGCAAAAATATTTCCTTTTTATGATTCTGATCTAAACAATACTGTATTTTCTTCCATTTGCTCAATTTTCAGTCTATCAGGAGTCATTCTCCAGCTTGAGTTTTTATAATTCTGAATATATATTACTCTAAGATAGTAACTAATTGGTTAACCTGCAACTACAGTCTAGGGTTATACCATGAGTATATATAGGTATACAACGTATGTGTACGTAAAGGTTTCCCCATCCATCCCTCCCACCATCACATCTTTAAATTAGAGACTTGAGTAGACTTCTCACACACACAATCAGGGCTCCTCTGCACAGCACCTCATGACTGTGCTAAACCTTTTCCTTTAAGACAGAGAGTTAAACTATTTTACTCCGTAATCTGAAACATTTTCCTGTGACGCTTAGGCAAAGCAGAAGCCATTTCCTCCACGGAACCACCGCTGGACCATGAACCCAAAGTCTATGGAGAAACCACATACAACAGATGTTTGCGCTTCACGTGGCCACCTAGGTCCACTTTTGTTTTTGAGTCCAGCTTTTCTGCGGCTGGAACTATACTGCCGTCGGCAGGTAATGGCTGAACCTGGGTGCTGGTGTTTGTTTCCTCTGCTTCCCTAAAGAACTTTTCGTATTTGTCCAGGTATGGTGGTCTCTCAGGTAGTAGGTAATAATGTGTTGAACTAACCTTCTTCCCGTTTTCAATAATGGGCAGAATGCAAGGAACCTTATTGGCAGACCCCTCGCTGTTCTGTCTCTGCAGAGCTTTGCTGCTGACATACTTGGGGTCTGGGGCAAAGCTCTGGGTTGGGGGCATGACCCCGTTGAGGTAAGATGGCAGGCTTTTAGGACTCGGTGTGCGGGAGTTACTCCGGGATAAAGGTTCTCTCGGTGGTACTTTGGGAGGCCTGTCTTCATCACTGTAGGTGCTAGAAGTAACTTCTGCTGACCACCTTCTATAATCTGGCTTCACTGGCCTGGGAGGTATGGGAACCCTGGGGGGCACCTCAGGTTTGTCTTCATCGGAGTTTGGAGAAGCTCTGTGTATGTAGCTGGATATCTTTATGGCTGGCTTGTTAAAGGACCCAGCTGGCCCCGAGTGGGACCTTCTCAGTCGTCGGTGGGTCTGAGGCGGAGGAGGGTCTGAATTCTGCACGCCTCCATTTAGGTCAGTTGCCTGGTTGAGGTCTGCCGCAGAAACTGCTGGGGTATCAAAATATGCATAGTTGATCTGTCCGCACCCTCGGAAGCTTCGCCTGCCAGGAATATCGTATTTGAAGTCAGAAAGTGTACAGTCCTCTAAAAGGAAGTCTGTATCTGAGCTAGTTAGGAATTCTACCTCACAGTCTGTCTCGTCCAGGCAGAGGTCTTCGGAGATGGGCAGTGGTGGAAGGGGCCGTGAACCCCGCTCACAGGCAGCTGTGCCGGGGAAGAGGGGAGGTGAGGTCTTTATGGGTGTGAGTGGAGGAGTAGAAGCGCAAACACCATTTACCGAGAGTTTCTTAAAACCACACACAACTTGATCCTCTTCATGTGCCAAGTTTTCACTTGGGGGAATAATAAGAGGGGGCAAGCTGGACTTTGGAGGGGTACCACTCTCTGCAAAGAGGTCATCATTCACCAGAACAGACTTCGGAGCACGCCCTAGAAGGAACCAGAGGTCGGTAAAAGAGCGGCTGCGCCCTCCCCACCCAGGAGGCAGGCCCGGCTCCCCGAGCTCCTACAGCTTCTGTCTAAACTACCGGTGAGATGCCTGACTGCAGTGGCCCTGAGAACATGCAACCGCCACAGGCAGAATCAGACCCCAGAAGATTGTTAACGCACATGATCTGGTTCAAAGAACAGATTATCTCTTCTATCTCCCTTGGACATGTGCATGGTGCACACCCACACATCTCAGGGCAGGTTGTGTGACGTGTGCAAAATTTGCAGCATATAATTTACATGAATACCATTCTACCCCAGCCTAGCCATTTAAGAGATGTGACAATACAAGGAACACAGGGCATAAGACAGATAAGACAAAGTCCTCTGTTAGCTCTGTCCTAATATCGGGAGGGAACGGATAAGCAGCTCAGTGTGATAAGGAGCTTTTGATAAAAATCTAAGGCACATAATGTTCACCCTAAAAGTACTATTATCACATACTTTTCACACTTTCCTAAGTTTTTAACATTTATACTACTCGATCACTTTCAAACATGTATCCATACTACCAAGAAAGATGAGAGATCTTGTCCAAGGTTTCTGGAAGTTAAGTCTGTATCATCGCTGGGATTCAAATTTAATTCTGGCTTTAAAAAGCTCACACTTCCACAAACAGACCTAGCTAGAAACCAGGGATAGAGGCAGTAAGGTACAATCCACTGAGACCAAGGTCATCTGCGGAATCTGTTGCCACTAGGGGTCAGACTGTTGTTGGAAATAGTTGAGGTCGTTTCCTCATTTAAAAAATAACGCTGGAAGACAGGCTCTTACACCAGGCTAACTTCCTCTTTTGTGCTAAGTTCACTGAGATTTTCAGAACACATACCAATAGATGTGAGGTGCTCCTGAGTGGTAGAGTTGAGACTGTACGCCATGGTTATTGGGTCAATATTTAAAAAGTTACTGAAAGGAAAGGAAAGACATCTTTGATTACAATCAAGCAGCAATCATGTTCTCTATCTCACTTTACTATCACCAATTTCTGGACTACAGTGGCATCACGTGCTGTACTCACTTCTCAAACTCACGGCGACTGCCCCAGCAGGCCTTCATATTCCCCACGGCCTGGCCATCATGCAGAAATGTGGTTTTCAAGGGGACTCTCATCTCCTGAGCAGCAACTCCGGCTGTTGACATTGTGCCTTATTCTGGGATGTCTCCAAACGCGTGAGGCTAAGGGATCTGTAGCCAACCAGCAGCTCTCACTCCCTAGAGGGGATAAGGAGGAATAAGCGAATAAAGGAAATAATTCAGAAATACCCACAAATAGCTGGTACTGGAGAATGTGAGGGGGATGCGGAACAGAAAAAAATAGTTATAGACATTCACTTAATTCTGATGGTTTTATATTAACTAATTCTTACTTCTCGGGAGGGTATGTAAGGGTAGACATTAAAAATATTTTTTTGGTAAATACTAATCCAAGATTTGGAATGTTTTCCTGCCAGGTGAGAAATAGTCTATCACCAGCAAAAGCAGACCACCCCCTTGCAGAGCCCGACAGTCGCACAACAAATCACACTCACTTGCCCAAGTGCACAAACATTGCTCTGCCCTCCTGTTAAACTGACCTTCCAGTGTGTGGTTGTACGGGACACTTTTCCCCAAGCTAAAAAAGGCAATTTCAGAAATTGTATTCAATACTGCAGAATATTCACTAAAACCCAGTGCTTCTATCAAATAAGAGATTCTATGGCTGGTACCTGATTACCCTGCAAAAAATAAATCCAATTTGTTTGGATCCTGTATTGCAGGGCTAGCCATGGGAAGACAAATTCTCCAGTTAATACTTGTTCAAGAATAAAGAAATAGTTACATATGAAGATACTAATTTCCATTATCCTACAAATATCCAAGCTCCGCAAGATTACTAGTTTCAGAGGAGGCCTGGGACAGCATCTTCCTCCCTTTGAAAGACAAACTGAAAGGTGAATTCCTTACATTCTCCCCCAGAAGTGCCCGGCTGCAAGGCAAGGATTAGAGGCTAAATCAGAAGTTTTCTTTATCTAGTAGTTCAACTTTTGGAAGCCCCGGCGCCCTGGATGTTAATGCCTGGAATCCCCTGACCCACAGCCTTTTTAATTTTACTTTTATTCACTACAGAGGTGTTATTAGCACTGATCTCTGCTCTGTCTTCATTTATGTTTGCAAGTGGGTTTTTTTTTTTTTAGATACTAGGATAGGATTTACCAACTCTCACTGTAACACTGACCCCCTTTGGGATGTGTACAGACATTTTATAAGGCTTTCTCATTCTCTCACCAAATATCTGCGCACCTACCAAGAGCTGGGTGCTGTGCCCAGGACTGGGGATGTCACCAAGATGAGTGAAACGAGTGTTGGGGTGGGTGAGGCCACACAGTTTTCTATCTTTATTTTTTTACAGACAAATTTGTCACATCCTGCTAGACTGAGCTCAGGAGAGGGGCTATGTCTCAATCCTTGATCAGCGCTAGTGGGGCTTCAGCAGGTGCTCTGGAAATGAACGTTTGCTGAACATCACACAATACCATCTGATTATCCTCGTCAATACCAACTGAATTACACAGTGTATAAGGTGTAGGGCTTTTAGCTAAATATCCAAAATACTCTGCAAAGTTTATTACTTTTTTTTCACGTGAGAAGAAATGGAGATAGTAATGTCTCAGTAATGACAAAGGAAGGAAGATGGGTGCCAGTTACCGATTCTCAGCTTTTCACTCTCCTAAGTCGGCTGTTTTGATGAAGTAGGCAGGGATTTAAATAGATTTAAAAATATTATTTCAAATAGCCAAGCATCACTTTTCTTTAATCAGTCTCTCACAGATATGTGATTTGAAGAGGAAAAAACCCATTTTTTTAAAGAAATCTAAGATATTAGGAGTGTTTTTTTTTTTTTGAGGATTGGTTTTTAGATTATTGAAATAAAGCAAATGTGTTTTCACTTTACCTGAATCAAGTAAAGCTGTAACAAAAATTTTAAAAACCAACCTTTAGGAAGCATTGCCAGGCTCTATGTCCGTACATTTAGCCCGTGGTACATGGCAGCCTTCCTGAGTATTCTACAAGCACCGGCAAGACTATAGGGAAAGTATCTGTGTAATATAAAAATGAAAGGCCAGATAGGAAGGAGAATATGGTATTTAAGTAGTTTGAAAGCACACAGTTTGAAGATCGCTCACCCAGATTACAGGAAAATGCTGCGGGGGACTCAGAGGCCCAGCCCCCACCTGTCTGCAGGCCAGCAAGTACTACTATAATTACTGTGTGTCAGCCTCCTAATGCCATCTAAATCTTAGCTCCCAACAGCCCCATTGTGCAACTATCGCCTCTGCTGAAATTGCCTTGGAATTCTAAACTTACATTTCAATGGCCCCTTCAAATTATAAGTTCTAGAAAAAGTTGTTTTTTATTCATTGTTTCCATCACCTACTTGTTAGCTTTCTTAAGAAAAAAATTTTTTTAGTATAAAAAGAATTGTGTTCACTAAGCCAGCTCACTTCTGACCACAATAGTGTCTTTGTGTATTCATAGAAGGTGACCTGCCTCTAAATTTCAATGGGTAATTGTGAATGGGCCATGTTATGAAACTGTGCGAGCTTTCTACTCGCTTGCCTGGGAGAAGTGAGGGGGACAACATAATTGCATGTTCTCTTCTTTTGGAAAATAACTTCAAACTGGAGACTCCGGAGAGCGACCTGCCACAGGTTTGGAAGCAGATTTTTTCGACTGTGTCCCTCGGACTGTAAACCGAGGGTGTGAAGCCACCTGGGATTCTTTCACGCCTCTCCCAAAGCTCTGGGAGCGCACAGTGTATACACGCCTTGGGAAAAATCAATGTGGTCAACTACAGCTAAAAAAAAAAAAAAAAACACTGCTCAAGTGAAATTTAACCAGTGCTGCTGTGTTTCAAGTTCTGTTTCCTTGTACCTCTAAAACTAGCTCTGCTTTACAACTCATTAGGAAAACAGCTGCAAAACAATGTGCCTGTACAGGAAAATCAGTTGTCTATAAGATGGCATTCCAAAAATACAAAAGCTACTGTTAATCCAGGCAGCATGAGAGACCAGGATAGAAATGACCTTGGGTATAACTTTCTAAAATTCATGAATTTATCTTTTAGTTGTTTTAGTGTTACAAGTGCAGCTAAATATCAATCCCAGATGTGAATTTTTTCCTGTTAACATCCCTTGATTTTTTAATTCAAGAAAAAAAAAACCCTAAAACCACGTTTCCCGAGGCTGCCCTTTTATGGTCCCTCCTTATGCGCGCCTGCTGGAGTTCTGAGCCACCTCTGTAGCTTCACCACCACGGAGAGGACGGCCCCTGAATCGGGACTCCAGCTCCGGCTCCGGCTTCCACTCTGCGTTTCCTATTGTGTGGTGATTAGTCTTCTACTTGGATGGTCCTCTGGCATCTGGGGCTCTACAAGCCAAGCTGCTCCAGTCCTTCATGCCCCACCCCCTTCCCAAACCAGTTCAGGGCCTAAGAGGATCACACTTCTCCTAAAGGCACTGTTTTTAACCTGAGCTGCAGACGGAGGTTCCATCACAAGTTCCATAGCCCTACTTCTCCACTGTCTCAAATATTCCTTTCTTCCGTTCACTGGCACCGGTCTGCCTGGGGTCTGAAAATACCCAACCCATCCTACACACCAGGAGCAGATCGGTATGCCCAAGCTGCAGCTCGAAGTGACATCTTCCACTGCTCACAGACCTTCAAGGGCTTCTCAACAGAGAAGCTCCTCGTCCGACATCAAAGCCTCCACAACAAGGCCCCCCGTCCACCTTTTTCAAGCTCTTGCTTCTCTTTTCTCCAAGTCTCAGAACTCCACTTTTCCAGGAGGGCCATCTCTCACACCACCTTCTCCCTGACCCTGCTTCTGCTGAAAAGCCAGAGCAGCGTCTCTGTTTTGGTCATTTTGTGTTGTGCCCCAGTTCCACTCCCATCCTCGAAATCTACAACAGACTTCTTTCCCCCGTAGGGATCCTGGCATCATTCTTTTCTAATAGGAAATGAGAAAATTATGAAATTGAGGAAATATTCATCTCAGTTTTTGAAAAATAATTCCATGAAAGATGCATGTATACTGTAAATAAATGAAGAACTAAGGGAAATAGTAAAGATCTGTAAAGGATAAACTTAACATGCTGATATCTCCTAGTTATAATGTGACAGGTTTAGGGTATGTAGCAGGCAAGGAATTTTCATTAACTTCCTTTCCAAAATCCAAAGTGGACAGTTTGCAGACTGGGTAAAAATTCTTCACTTAAATGGCTAATGATGTAACTCTCTTAAAATTGGTTTCTGTTACTGTACATTTGCTTCATGAAGGCAGTGCTTTCTGAAAACAGCAGAGTTCACCTTCTCTTACACACTATTCCTTCTGGACTGTAATGCATCTACTGTATTTTTGCTGTTAGATTTCAGGTCACTTCCCTTAAAACAAAACAAGCTATCCCAAAAAGCACAGTGCACGTTCTTTATTAAGGTGAGATCACCTGCCTTTAGCTTGAGGACAGTATCTCTGGAACTCTTTTTTAACCAGACTACCTTCAGACAGTGACCTAGGAGCGCTTGCCTCGCCACCAGATCCCATTAACAAATCTCAGAGGCCGTCCACACCAGGAGGAGGAGGGGCACATTTTTGTCATACAGCTCATCCAGTTCTGCCCAGCGCTTCCTTATTTAAAAGTGTGATGTAATTTCCTTCTTTCAATCTGGTTTTAGAACCTGATTTCTGTTTATTCAGGGTGATAGATGGTCTTTTCAGCTGGAGTTAACAATTACCTATATAACCATTTCCATACCCAGGGAGATACAAGGTAACCGTATTTAGAGCCAGTTTGTAAAAGAAACTGACTTAGGAACACACCAAATTCCATGATTTTAGAGCCTCTGTAAGTCCACCAACACCTGCTTGCTCACCTTCATTTTGAAAGTATCTAAAATAATCACCTTTGGGAAAATGAAAAAAAAAAAAAACCTCCACATTTTTATTGTGATTAGTGTCTAAAGCACTAGGAGCCAAGCGATTTGACACACTGAACATTCAGTTTAGCTGCTTTATAGAATTTTAACGTCTATTAATGAGAAAACGTCCTGATTCAATATTCATCTACCGTAAGTTAAACAGTGCTAGTTACCGTTCAATCTGATAGTTACAGGGCCGCCTCACCTGAGTTTACTTACTGAAAGCACAAGGCTCTTCCAAATCAAAGGCCCTGATTCAGGGCCTTTCTCGGATTTCATTTTAACGGCTCTGATTTGGGGGAAGGGCGGGAGGGGGAGGCAAGTTAGGGAAACTCCCTCACGGTGTCCTGCTGCCACAGGGAGCACGAATAACCTCCGCGGTGCAAGCACAGATGGCTGAAAAATATTTTAATATTCCGGTAATATAACGTAACTAAGCGCTCCAGCAAGACTTCAAGCTACACCTGACGGTTTCAGTGACGACGGAGATGCAGTGTGACGCGGTGCAGACGGGCACTTTGTCCCCTCGCAGTGCCATCCTCGTGGCCTCTTCTCAGTGCCCAGCACCCAATGGCCCATTTGTAGGTGCTACAAACAGAGGCAACAAGGAAAATATAATTTGTCTTCAGACTGTCAGAATCAAAGCCAGGTGACATGATTTCTTGAAAAATGCCCAAAGTTTTCAAACTAAGGATTTTCAGAAATGGCAAGCTAACAAAAAACCTGTTCGTTCATCCGCCACGGTCATCAACAGCCTTTTGATTCACTCACTCTCCTACGCAACTTCAGTGTGACAGCAGAGCCGCGCTGCAGCAGGGACGCGCTCTGCCCTGTCCTCTTCCCACGGAGAACCACCGCCAGCAGCGACACACACACACACACCCCTGGATGGAAACATACTACTCCTTTCAGACGTGTACATAATGGATTTCTAATATTCTAATCTTAGTGACAAGCAATATAGTCTAATGATGGGAAGCAAGTCTTTAAAACTTCCAATTTACTTAATGAGCCTTTAAGTCACCCAATGGGTATGTTCCAATGAACATAAACTAATAATAATAACTAATTCCTAGGGCACTTTATGTGACAGGCATTGTTCTATTGTTAGAATTGTTCTATTGTATTAATTTACTTAATCCTCAACAACCCCGAGGTGGGTTACTATTATTACCCTCACTGAGAGAGGAGGACTGGGCAGTACTGGGAGTAGCCTGGCTGAGGTCCCACCTTGTAGGTGGTGGAGCCCAGACTGAGCCGGGCGCTCGCCGCCACACCACACTGCTCTTCGGTCTTCAGCCAGGGTAGGATCTGACCTACTGCAATGCTCAGGTTTTAAGGGTGGCTCAGACAGATTTTTCTGGGGATTTGCTGCTTGGTAATAGTTTTTCTTGGGTAACTTAGCCTATGAAATTTCCTGTTTTACTTCAACTGCCTGAAATTCTCCTATAAAAGCTTTTAGGTGCAGATTTGATCTATGTATCCTCTAAAAAGGGTGGGTCAAGGTATGAATTTTATATTGCACGAGCGCTTCCAACGTTTCTTTTGAAACCCTCTATCTTTAACCATACATCGATGCCCCACCATCACATACCCAGTACAACTTGGTATTTGGGATCACACATGGCTGTCTCAATCCATAAAAAGCTTTTTTTTAAAGTAAAGGCCTGGTGGGCCTTTTACTACTCTTGCAGCAAGGATCCCAATGGTGGTATTGTAATCCGTCTCTATTATAAAGTCTGGAATCTAACAACATAATACCTTGTACTGGTAAAGCACTCCACACATTACAAAGCACTTTCTAACCCATTGTCTCACTTGATCCCACAACATCCCTGTGAGAGGAGGCAGGGATCAGTCTCCATTTGCAGATGAGGAAGTGAGGCCAACCACCTTCCCAGCAGCAGAGGCATCACAGCCCTCGTGCCCCCCGACGCCAGCACCTTCCCTGCTACACTTCACTGCCTCCCCCTTCTACCGTGTCTTCACTTCAGGCAACAACATCATTTCTCATCCTAAAATTCTTGCTTATAAATGGGGAGATGCAAAGGATAGTGAGGTGAAAAGCTCAAGACCCAAGCGGTGGTCAATTACAGAGATGAAAATAGGTACTCCTAGCACTTAGCTCACAAATTCTCAGAGGGCGAGGATTAACTATTTTCGCAAATAGTTATCGAATGCTGTTTAGACTACAGACTATGCTTGTGAGAGAAACACAGCTGCTGCCTGATGAAGCCTCATCTGGTCGGGGGGGAGGCGATATGCAAGCGAGCAATGTCAGACCATGGTAACTCCCCAGGAAGCGAGCAGGGAACAGTAAGGGGCCAGGGAGGCAGGAGAACATATTTACACAGGTGGCTGGAGAAGGCCTCTTTAAGGTGACTTTTTAAATTGGAATCTAGAGGAGGAAAAGAGGCAGCCAGAGAAAGAGACAGAAGAGCTTTCCCCACAGAGGGAAGGGCATTAAAAAACAAATGACCTGTAACTAGTTGGGTCCCATGTTCTGGGTGTCTTGGATAAAAGTTTTTGGACAATGTCTTCTAACCCTCACCTTCCCACTGTTTCCTCTATTAAACTGTAATGTTCTCTCGTATCATGGCACTCTGGAGTTGAAAAGGATTAATTCATGTAGCCAGAGCTCCATATTTTTAAAAAATACTGAGGCCTGGAAGATGAGACTTTTAGTAATACTGCAGAATTTTATGGCATAGGGCATTGGATTAAAATATCAATAATGACTCCAAATTGCAGAATACCTTCAAAGGAATTTCTCTATTAAGCTAGTAATTTATATTCAGAAACCTGAAACTCACCAGCTTTATCTTTATGAAGCTTGTGTTTATTCTGTGTAAATAATACCAGAATACCACAGCTGGATTTTTATTTATTTAATGAGTTATTCATTAGCTTTTATAAAGCACAGCCAGAAACCAGCACCTAAGGATGCTAAAGGAATCCCGATGATGAGGTACCAATCCAAATTTATTTAGATGAAGTGCAGAGTTGTTTCTCTGGTAGAAGGAGCCCATGACATTCAAATTCCTGGAATCACCCTTGGCACCACCTTTCCCTCTGCTCACCTTCCTAAAGCAACCTGAGGGTATGTAGACATTCAGGTCAGTTTCAGCATGTTAGATTGTACCTGTAATTTAGGCAACTTGCTTTTAAGAGCTACCATTAGTATTAGCAGAAAGGAAGTATTATCTGGTTATACTTCTGAGAAGCAGCAGTGAAAGAGTTGTTTCCACACAAAAACTCAATTCTGCAGTATAATTAAACCCCACAGAAAGAGTGACCAGTATCTATTGTGAACTTAAAGTAGGAAAAACAATCCACTACCATCAGTAATTTTACCTGTCAAAAATATGAATAATTCAGACATTTCGTAACAGTCATAAAAACACAGATTTGCTTTCCAGCCCTAATCAGTGACTGGTCCAATCCTGCTGAGCTTTAAAACATAAAATATGCTTTCATGCAATTATTTATCATCCATCAACTATGTGGAAGGCTGCCTAAGATAGAAGCTGTGTACAAGGCAGAGAGTTCCTGCCCTTAAGGAGTTTACAATCTAATATATGTGTTAGGCTATAAATTGTTAGTCTGAGACTTCTATCACCTATTAGTGACTATCTACTGGAACATAAAGCCAAAAACACAGTGCCTGAAGTCCATGCTAAAACCTATCTGTATTTCTCTTCAAATTTGCTAATAACTGGAAAAGATGTCAGCCACTACCTTGCCTGATAACATTCTGGTAACCAAAATAACCAATCATAGCCAGCATACGAACAAGAAACCATACCCACTGCATTCTTACAGACTTAAAGCTTAAAACCTTGCAGAATACTTGTTCTCCAAAAGGGGCAAAAAAGGCATTTTAACCTCACCTTTCTTCACCTCTGACAGTTGCCTAGAAACCAGTCCTGCCCTACCTGTGTTGCAGGTGTACCTGAAGTCACCAACACATCTCTTTTAAAGCTGCAGTCTCTATTCTGACTGCACGTAAGTTTATGACTAACAATCTATTCATATTTTTTATCAGGTAGGAGACTGGTTTCTTTCTGGCAATGACGAAATCCTAATAAAGACTTAGCAAGCACCAATACAGCACCAATCATACTAAGGAAGTCATCTAATTTGTCCGAGACTATGATAGGCACACACATACATACACACGAGAAATACCCCAGAAGCGTTCACGTTTTGAATACAGCATCCTGCAGCTCGGCTGCTCCTAAAGCAACACTTCGGGCGTTCGGCGCTGGGAACCACGTTTCTAGGAGGGGACAGAGCCGGAAGGCTCGGGCTGCGCGGCTGAATTACCGACCGCGGTCAGGCGCCGGGCGGAGGGACTGCGGCTCCGGACCGCACCCGCTCGCGGCGGGTGGGGGACACACCGTAGCCCGGGGCGTGCAGCCCGCCGTGGGGAGCCGAGGCCGCCGCCCGCGGGCGCAGCCGGGCCCTCCCTCCACCCCTCCGTTCCGGGAGACGCCGCATCGCGGCGACCCTCTTGGGCCCTGGGCCCGCCCTGCGCCAGGAGCCCCTGGCAGCAGGGCGCGGAGCGGCGCCCTCCCCCCATCCCGCAGGCCCCTTACCCCGCGGAGCCGCGGCTGCCCCACGGCGCCCTCCCGCGCATGTCCGTCCCGGCTGGCTCAGCGCCGCGGCTCAGGGGCCCGGACACCGCGCAGGCGCCTCGCCGCTCACACCCAAATCGCAGTCCCCGTTCGCACTCGGCCGCCGGCGGCGAGACGATCGCCGCCTTACTATATAGCGGGTGGGCGTGACCGTGACGTCGCCTCTTACCGCCCTCCACCCCGCGCAGCCAATCCCGGCAGCGAACCGCTTAAAGGGGCGACGCGGCGCCCGCGGCGCTCGCGTGGGGTCCACCGGCGCCGCGCGGGCCTGCGGGGCCGCCGCCTTTGTCTCCTGAGAGCGGTGCTGCCGCGGCCGCGGCCGTGCCTCCCCTCCTCTGGACGCCCGCTGCGGCAGCGGGGCCCGGCAGCCCGAACACTGATTTTCCTCGGAAGTTTGCGGGCAGCCCGGCCTCGGCAGCAGTGCCTGCCTGAACCAGAGGTGGTGCCGTCCCGCGCGGAGTTTCCCACCGTGCCCAGCCCCGCGGAGCGTTGTGCGTGCAGCCCCCGACCGCGGGGACGGGCCGAGGACCCGGGAGAAGGCGGTGCGGCCGCCGCGGGGTTGGCCTCAGTGGGGCTGTGCGCCCGCCGCCCGTGGGAGGGGAGCGGGGGACCGCGAGGCCCAGGGCCGAGGACCATCCGCGGGGAGCTGAGCGCGTCAGCCCAGCCCCCTCTCCTCTACGGGTTTGAACGTCGAGACCAGCGCAGTCGCAGGTGCAGGGCGCTGGCGGACTTCCCAAGGGAGCACCCACCCCACCCGGCGTCCCAGGAGTTCCCGGTCTCCTGTTTACTGTTGGATCCACACCGACCTCAACATCCCCTGGCATCGAGCAGCCGCTGATGCCCAAGGACAGAACACCCGCCAGCCCGCGGGAGGAGGTCTCTCCGGCGCCGGTGATGCAACCTAGGCTTATAGTTTAACCGTAAAATAAATAATACACATGATAACAAACCAGGAGTAACTAAAGTAAGAAAAAAAGCAAACAGACAGAAACCCTCCAGTTTTAACTGGAACAAATCCCCTGAGTGGTACTCTCTTGAGAAGAGGCCAGGGACCTCCCGCTGACCTCTTTAGTCTCCAAGAGCCCCATTTTTGCTGTTCAGCAATAATTCCCAATTGTTACACATTTAGCTCGACCTAATTGGGGTAGTTTAACATATGGAATGAGATTCCGACCTCATTATCAGTTTAACTATTAACTTTGCACTCCATGAAATGGCTTGCCTTTTCTCCCCTATTACTTACATTCTTTTAAATTTAATTCAGAGGCCTAATTTCGAATTCAAGTTCTTAAGCGCAAAAAATTTCTGAAGTATCCCTTTGCCCTCTTTCAGTTGCAAGAGAAATGTTGAGCAGAGAACTCTACCCTCCCTTCTGATGGGCTACGACTGACCTGCAGGGACTCGGGGATCATTTTCACGCCCGTGTTACTTACCAACAATTCAGTTAGTCCATCTTTCTATTAACTCACCTTATTTATTGCTGTTCATTTAGTATTATTTTAGGAATGACGGAACTTAATCACAACTAATTACTGCTTGACTTACAAATTAAGTAGGCTTTTTGATTCACACAAACTCTATTCATATTCTGCACTCCCCAACACACCCCATTTTGGTTTCATTGATGTTTCTGGCTTAACCCATATGCTGTTATCAGTGTAAAAATAGGATCAGCCTGAGAACTTGCCAGAGAACATCTTTTCAGACCTCACAGTACAGCATTTACTGAATGAGAGCCTAGCTGAGATCGAGTTCCATCCAAAAAGAAAACTAGTTAGGCTGTTCCAAGTCACTACAATACAGTCGTAATTTGTGCTTTGGCCTTAGTGGCATGCTTTTTACATTCCCCTATTCATTAAGCAGTGATAATTACCAGAGCAACCATCCGACACACCCCTTCTTTAGAGAAGGAAGATTAACAGGATACTCAACGATGTGGTTGTGAGCTGTATGATATGTTAATGTTTTGGTAAATTATCAAAAATCATAAAATCACATGAGTTATACATTAGTCCAATTTTTTTTCTTCTGATCTGTCCTAAACTGGGAAAACGATCATCTTGATTTATTCATTTTGAGGGAAAACCTAGTTATAGCTGATTGCTCACCGAATTTTGCTTACAATTATATTCGTATAATATGGCGCTCTTAGCTGTGGATGGATTACACGAGAAGACTTACACCCTGAAATCTTTTGTCTAATAGTCTATTTATGTCAGTAGTATTTGTCAAGAATATTGGGGGAAGAGTAAAAGGAAAATGCTGAACAGCTTAAAATTGTATTAGCTTATATTGTGTTTATCAAGTAATCGTTCTTTGACTTGAAAAGATTAGAACCCTAGACCAGAGGTTTAGGGAAAAAAAAATATTCTTTTGGACTGAACCTAATTTGTTTTAAATTGTCTCCTATAAGAAATTTAAAGTCAGACAATTTTTTTTTTATGTCTCTCACAGTCCATTTAACTTTGAGGGCACTTCCCAAGGAATTTATATTAGCTAATTGTTCTTTAATATTAAAACACCCAAATATAATATCTAAAATGTTAGACTTAAATCATGTTGACCCAAACTGTCACTCTGCACTTTTCCTTTCAGTGTAAGAAGAAGCTGTCCTTGGAGTGGGGACAAGGTGAGGTTCTGGCTGGGAAACCTTAGAACCACAGACACTGCCTTCCTAAAGATCTTGATCTTTTCTGTCCTCTCCCAGTAATACACAAGTCACTTGTGAGCATACATATGCCACACAGGGCCCTTAAAACCCTTCCAAATTTATATTGTGATATTATTGGAATCCTGCAAAAAAGTATACACATCTTGGTGTTTATTCTTCTTGGTTATAGATGTTTTTGTGTTTCTACTTTGTAAAGGATTATTTTAAAAGGAGATATTTTCTGCATTACTCTCTTAGTCCTAGCGCCTGTATGTTTCTCTGTTCATGGTATCAAGGTAACTATGCGCCTTCCTTTCTTTTTTACTAATTTATAGTTAAGAGTGCAATAAAAATACACAACAATGGAAGAATTGCATTTCTTAAAGGTCATTCTGATGTTTAGTCACGCCACTTTTTGTTTTGGAAACATCCGGGCACAGATAAATGTTTATATATGCAATAAACTTTGTGGATTGCTTGGAAACATACATGCCAGGAAGAGCTGAGATTCATCCATGAAGGGTGCTACAACGCAGTCCAAGTCTCCCTGAACTTTCAATTTCAGTAGCCATTTGAAAGGTTGCACAGACAGAGATTCCTTTACAACTTCCATGTTTTCCCTTATGTAATTAGGGTTGCTCGTCCTCCTTCCTAGCTTTTTCCCCCAAAAAGAAAAAAAATAAAGTGGCATACTCAGCTTGTGAGAAGACAGAGCAGGCTGGTTTAATTTATCAATCTATTGTTTTTTAAGAGTCAGGGCCATGGCTAACTACATTTTTCTTGGTTTGGGTTTTAGGGAGGCTGTTTGTATTTTTTTGATGGAGATGCTTTTCATTTACCTAATGCTACCTTAACCCACATTTGATCCTGTAGGTGGCTATTGTATTTCTAGTTCTATCCCATTTCTAGAATTTACAACCATTAGAAATTTTTAGTGGCCCATAGGTACATTAATTTAATATGTAGACATTACAAGACAAATTTTTCATGTTTCTTTTACACATTAATCTAATTTTATCTTCAAATTTTAACATTACATTTTTTTCCCCCGAGTAAGTGCTATTTCTTATTAGCTGGCCAGTAGGGTGTGCTCTAGTCCCTTGCCAAATAAATAAATAAATAAATTTAAATTATTAATATAAATTCTTCATTAAGAAATTTCAGAAATCTATTTCTCTCCTTCGTCGCCACCAGCACAGGTGGGTATGCTTACAGAGACACAAGCAAATGGTTAGGCATGCACAACAAATATGGAAAGCAAAATTGTTATATTAAAACTTTGAGATGTTTGCGTCTTTGTATTCAGTTGTAAAATATATTGGTCTGTTGGTAACAGATATTTTCTTGCATTCTGGGTTAAAGAAGAATGAGAAAACTGGCATAGTGTTGAAGAACAAAGTTCTGCAAGCAGAAGGTTTGAGTTTGAATTCCAGTAACACCAGTTCTGTGACTGAGGTAAGTCAACCTCTCGTAAGAGGGAGATAACAGTGCTTCCTTACTCCATAGGGTTACTGGACAGATGAATGAGATTGTACATGTGAAGTGTTTAGAACACAGCCTGGCCCCAATCTGAGTTCCATGTTAGCTGGTTTTTAAAATCATCATTGTTATTCTTATTGTTCTTCTTGTTACGTATTCTCTGAGGGATTTCTGAATATCTTTCATTGCAAAATTCCAAAATTCTCTGTTGCTTACTAGTACACATGACATAATTTTGTTCAGGACGTTGTTTCATTACATTCCAGAAGCATAAATGATTACGATAAAATGTCTTACTTTAGTAGCAGTATTTCCATGTAAAAGTGTATAAAACCTTCAGCCAAAGAAAGGGTTCTATCATAGTGAAATTTCAGACAGCAGGAATCCTTGGGAAGGTAAGCTAGTCGGGACAAGGAGAATCATTTTAGCATCTCTAAAAGCAACAAGTAGCCATGTCTATGAGCATTTACTTGTAAATCCATATTCACAAATATCCATAGGCATGTGTCCTTGAAAAAAATATTTAGTTTGTACATAATCTTAAAGTCCCTACAGAACTTTTAAATATGGACAGCTTTAGTATTTTCTCTGAAATGCAAACTCAGCAGGATACACACACCCTGTGTTACTAGATAGAGCAGCGTTGTAAGGACTGAATGAATGACACTTCTTAGGATTTCTGACTTTATGCATTCACTCATCAATAAATACTCATTGAACCTATTATGTGCCAGTTCATGCTTGGTGCGCTGCAGTGAGCTTCCCCTGGAGAACTTAGGCTAATCCCCAGTAGTGGAGATTATAGACGGCACACAGAAGTTGCACTGTAATGGTGTGACCAGGGGCCCACAGGGTGCTATGGGGATGATAGGAGAGGTACCAGCTCAGACCTGGGGGTGTCAGGAGAGCCTTCCTAGATCAAGTGAGGTGGATACTGAGAAGTGAAGGATGCCTCGGCTGTGAGAAGATGAAGGG